GTTCAGGGGCAGCGGGGGACTAGGTCCCAGCTCACCTTGCTGATGGCCTTCAGCGCACGGCTGGCGGCCTTGTACCTCTCGGGGTGCCCCTGGGTCTTGAGGCAGAGCGTCTGCAGGGAAGACACCAGACGTGAGAAGGCACCAGGTACCTGCCTGAACCTCAGGCTTAGAGGCCTGCATGGGGCGGAGACCCAGGTGGGGGCTACAGGGAGGTCCAGGGCCCCTGCCAGGCCCCAGTGGAGAACGCAGCCCCCAAACAGCTCTGCCAGGTCAGGCTGGTTGGGTGGGAACCTGAAGTGAGCATTCCCAGGACCTGGCCCCTCCCCGCCCTGGCATCACCGTCCAGCCAGGGGAGGCCCCCCCACCATGGCCTCTACTTCTACTCTTCCCAGAAGGCCCAGGAGTGGCCAATGTCCCATCTGGCTTGGATAGCTGACCTGCCTGGCACAGGGCCACACGCTGCCTCCGGGAGCTTAGCTGGGTTCCTGCCACGTGTATGTTCGTGTGTGCATGTGTGGACACTTGTGCCTTTCACCCTCTGCCCCGTGAGCCAGCACCTCAGAGACACAAGCTACTCCAGGGAGCCCTCTGAGCTGCTCTCCCCACGCCTGGGACAAGGGTGCTAGGAGGCAGCGGCCCAGGACCAACGCTCGGCAGGGGCCTGGGTGACGTGGGTTAAGACACATCCACATGGCCATCAAGTAGGTGAAGGACCATAAAGTGCAGGGCCAGGTCCCGGCAGAGGGAGTTCTATGAGCAGCGGTGACGATGCTGGGACCACGTCACCACGGCGATTAAACCATCTTATCACGGTCCTCGTAATTATCACATAACAGGCAAAGGGTGGATGAAGATCTGAGGGTGGGGTCTGAGGGTGGGACCGGGTGCGCTCACGTCGGTCAGGAGGGGCAGCCGGGTCACCCTCTGCATGGGTAGGATCAGGAAGGAGATCATGGGGAGGCCGCCGCACGCCGGCCGCTTCTCGATCTCCCTGAGCACGTCTCGGAAGGCGGTGTTGCTGCTTCTGCAGGAGAACGGGGCGGAGGTGGGGTGGCCGCGCAGAAATCAGGCAGGACCCCCAAAGCCAGGCCGAGAGCAGGGACGCGCTCCCGGCCGAGGTGCAGGGCCGTCCCCAGCCCGGCCCTCCAGGCGCCACAGCCCCGCTCACGTCAGCTTCTGCAGGGCCCGCTGCTGGTAGACCTCGTTGGAGCAGTAGGCCACGTAGGGGTGGAAGTGGCTCTCGGCGTGCTCCTCCAGGATGTCGCTGATGTCCTCCACGCACACCTGCGCCTTGTGCCGCCGCTCCAGGTCCTCGAAGAACCTGCGGGGGGGGACGGCGGCCTGAGTGCCCACTGCTGGGCGTGTGAGCACATGGACACACACGTGCACACACACACATGCCCAGCTAAGCTCCCAGGGCGGTACATAGCATGCATGTGTGAACACACACACGCACATACACGCGCGAGCACACACAGCTCAGCTCTCGGGCAGCACACAGCATGTACATGTGAGCACACACACACACACACACATGTTCACACACCCAGCTCAGCTCCAGGACAGCACAAAGCACACACACACGCCCGCCCACATACGCATGCACGCACACACATGCACACACGCTCGCCCACAAACGCCCAGCTCAGCTCCAGGGGCAGCACACAGCACGCACGCGGCAGGACTGGGCCAGCACTCCTGTGAGCCACAGCCCCCTCCAGGAACACCCCAGGACAGATCAGCTCCTGGGATCTGAAATAACTGGCACAGACCCATGGCCACATCCAAGGCCACTTCCCTCGAGGTTCTGGCAAGACTGGTGGGCATCACGGGACGCTGATGGTAGGACAGAACTTGTCCCTCTGACTCGATTCCCTGGGACTCAGGCGAGAGGTGCCAGGACCTGCCTTGAGCCCCGGCACCCTTCCCCCGCTCAGCTGAGTGGGGCCTCTGGGCAGGCTCCCTGGAGGTGACCGCCAGAGCCCCGATTCCTGGGGGTCCCCTTCTGAGGCCCAGAGTACCCAGGCCTGGGCCGGGGAGATGAGGGTGAAGTGAGCCAACCTTCGGCTGGTGCTGGCCCAGGGCTCTGCTCCCACGGGCAGCTGCTGCTGCTGCGGCTGGGTGAGTGGGCCCACGTGGGGCCACGTGGTGTACACGGCTCCGGCTGTGGCCTCCAGCACATCCTAATAGCTGGAAAGTGCCGGATCCCAAGGCCCCATCACCTCTCCAGGCCCTGGCCAAGGCAGTGGGAGGTCCTCCTACCCCAAGGGCTCTGTCCCCAAGAAGTCCCTCCCCAGTGCTGGGCTCTTGGCTACACCCATGCCAGCATCTCTTTCAAAGTCCTGCTGAGCTGGGCTCCTGGACAGCCTGGGACAGCCCTACTTGGAGATAAGATGCTGGCTGACCTCCCGAGGACAGAGGGCAGAGTCCCAGAGCACATACCCGCCCCGCAGGGGGAACTCCGGTGGCCCACACCCTCATCAAGGAGTGACCAGCTGAGGGCTGCCAGCCCTTGCCACTCACCCACCGGGGCGGAAGCCGGTAGAGAGACAGCGAGAGGGGGAGAGTCAGCCCCACCCAGGACTTGTGGCCAGGGCACCACCTGGGAGGAAAGTAGGCCACCCACCTATCTGTAGGACCGCCTGGAAGATGGGCGCTTCACTCTGGTTATCCTGGCGAGACCAGTGAGGGTGGCAGGGAGGGGAAATGAGGCCTCCACCCGGAGGTGGGCAGGGGTCCCTCAGGCTTCTGCTCATAGGCCCCCTGCCTGATCTTTTGCCCACAGGGGACCAGGATTCCTTTAAGTGGGGACATTCTTACAGCCCTAGCTGATGGGCAGCCTGGACAAACGGGGACAGTGTGTCAGGGACAGATGAGGACCCCACCCCCATCCCCAGGAGGGTGCGGGAGGCCCTGGCTGCCCAGATGCAGGGCCACAGGCACGTGCACACACACCCCTACTGTCCCACATATGTGCACACACAGAGTGTGCATTCACACGCATGCATGCAAACAGCTGCTGCCCTACATGTGTTATCATATATGTACACGTGCACACACACGGCCCCATGCAGACCTGCAGCTGCATGTCCAGCCCCTCCTCCACCTCCCGCCTTGCAACCAGAGCCCTGGGCCTGGCACCAGACACCTCTGGGAGGAACATGACCCAGGTGCAACTAGAGGCCACCTCCCACCCGCTCTGCCTGCGGGTACCTCAGGCCTTGCCATTCAGCCCTCTGGGCCTGGGTTCCTGGTGGGAATGTGCCTGTGGGCAGGGCCATGTCCCAGGGGAGGTGATCCACCTTTCAAATGTCAGGGGACAGGGTGCAGGAGGTACCAGGCATCCACAGTCCCGGTGCTCAGCTCTCCCCCGGCTACTCCCGGAGGCTTCAGGGCCTGGGGAGGCCCTCACACTCCCTCCCAGCAAACCGCTGCTCCACACTTCCCACCAGCAGACTTAGACCAGGGGGCTCCCAGAGTCTGCCTTTCAGCCATCCTGTGCCAGTGGGCGAGGCAGCCTCCTGGGCACACGGAGGGCGGGCACGGGCCTCACCGCTGGCTGGCACTCTGGACGTCCAGGATGTTGGAGAAGAGATGGTGGTGCTCCGTCTGGGTCATGGTCGCCCGCAGCTCCCTGGACTGCAGGAACTCGGCCACCAGGATGCCCAGGCTGTGCTGGTAGGAGAACTCGGACGTGAGGATCTCGAAGATGGCCTGGGCGAGAGGAGAGCGGTGCNTGGAGATAAGATGCTGGCTGACCTCCCGAGGACAGAGGGCAGAGTCCCAGAGCACATACCCGCCCCACAGGGGGAACTCCGGTGGCCCACACCCTCATCAAGGAGTGACCAGCTGAGGGCTGCCAGCCCTTGCCACTCACCCACCGGGGCGGAAGCCGGTAGAGAGCCAGCGAGAGGGGGAGAGTCAGCCCCACCCAGGACTTGTGGCCAGGGCACCACCTGGGAGGAAAGTAGGCCACCCACCTATCTGTGGGACCGCCTGGAAGATGGGCGCTTCACTCTGGTTATCCTGGCGAGACCAGTGAGGGTGGCAGGGAGGGGAAATGAGGCCTCCACCCGGAGGTGGGCAGGGGTCCCTCAGGCTTCTGCTCATAGGCCCCCTGCCTGATCTTTTGCCCACAGGGGACCAGGATTCCTTTAAGTGGGGACATTCTTACAGCCCTAGCTGATGGGCAGCCTGGACAAACGGGGACAGTGTGTCAGGGACAGATGAGGACCCCACCCCCATCCCCAGGAGGGTGCGGGAGGCCCTGGCTGCCCAGATGCAGGGCCACAGGCACGTGCACACACACCCCTACTGTCCCACATATGTGCACACACACAATGTGCATTCACATGCATGCATGCAAACACCTGCTGCCCTACATGTGTTATCATATATGTACACGTGCACACACACGGCCCCATGCAGACCTGCAGCTGCATGTCCAGCCCCTCCTCCACCTCCCGCCTTGCAACCAGAGCCCTGGGCCTGGCACCAGACACCTCTGGGAGGAACATGACCCAGGTGCAACTAGAGGCCACCTCCCACCCGCTCTGCCTGCGGGTACCTCAGGCCTTGCCATTCAGCCCTCTGGGCCTGGGTTCCTGGTGGGAATGTGCCTGTGGGCAGGGCCATGTCCCAGGGGAGGTGATCCACCTTTCAAATGTCAGGGGACAGGGTGCAGGAGGTACCAGGCATCCACAGTCCCGGTGCTCAGCTCTCCCCCGGCTACTCCCGGAGGCTTCAGGGCCTGGGGAGGCCCTCACACTCCCTCCCAGCAAACCGCTGCTCCACACTTCCCACCAGCAGACTTAGACCAGGGGGCTCCCAGAGTCTGCCTTTCAGCCATCCTGTGCCAGTGGGCGAGGCAGCCTCCTGGGCACACGGAGGGCGGGCACGGGCCTCACCGCTGGCTGGCACTCTGGACGTCCAGGATGTTGGAGAAGAGATGGTGGTGCTCCGTCTGGGTCATGGTCGCCCGCAGCTCCCTGGACTGCAGGAACTCGGCCACCAGGATGCCCAGGCTGTGCTGGTAGGAGAACTCGGACGTGAGGATCTCGAAGATGGCCTGGGCGAGAGGAGAGCGGTGCTGGGGGCCCCACACATACCGGGGCCCCACGCACACTGGGACTCCACGTGCCGGGAAGGTGGTCTGGACGAGTCGTCGCCGCACAGGGGCCTGGCACAGGGCGTGTTTGTGATGAGTGCTCAGTGGGGATACGAGCCGGGTGAGGGGACAGGTGGGGATTCGAGCCCCCTGGATATGCCCTGGGTAGGACGAGAGGGCAGCCATGGGGATGTGAGCCTGACTCCTGGGTTCGCTCGGCCAATTATGAGCTGTGACACTGAGCAAGGACACCCACCCTGGTTCGAGAAGTAACAATGGCCACCCCTGCCCCACCCGACCAAGGATGTCGGCCATCACCCTTGTGTCTGCCCTGGGAGGTGGCCCGTGGGTGGGCGGGCAGGTGGGCAGCATCACTGTGGCCGCTGTCCCCCTGCAGGACAAGGCTGGGACGCAGGGCTGCCGCCCCTCCCCCCACCCCGCCACTTACCTCCTGCCTCTTGCGCTCCTCAGCCGGCAGTGTGTCCAGGATGCCCGACTCCACCACCTGCAGGGGCACAGGCCTGGGAGTCAGGGGTCGTGTGTCCTGGGAGCCCTCCCTGCTGGGCCAGGGCCAACGTGGATGGCAGAGAAGCCTGGAGGGGGCAGAAGCCAGGCTGGCTGGGGGCAGCCCCACCCTTCCCATGGCTCAGTGCAGTGGGACGGCTGAGCTGGCCCGTCACCCACATCCCTCCTCTCTACGGAAACATCCCCTGGGTGGGCGCATCCCTGGCAAGGAGCCCTGGGGCAGCTGGGGAAGAGAGTGGGGGTCCAGAGGGGAAGGCCCGGAGGCACCAGAGCAGGGGAGGGGGTGGAGAGGGCAGGGCTGCCTGGAAAAGCTGAGGGGGTGCCTGGGTCAGGTGAGTCAGCGTCCTGCCCAGGAGGCTCGGGGTGACACTGTTCCAGCAGGGTGCCCTGCCCCAGCTCCCCGCCCTATCAGGGCTGTGGCCTCCAGGCTGCCCTGGGTGGAGCGTGGCTCTCAGCCACTGCATGCCTGCCGTGTCCCTACAGAGCCTGCCAGGACAGGCTGGCTGTTCCCCTGCCTGGGGGCACCCCCTCTGTAGGACCCAGGGCCACCCCATTCTTGCCCCCCTCCTCAGCTGGCTGGGCAGAGGCCACGTCCAGCGCCTATGCCGGGGAGGCCAAACCCCATGCCTCTTCCTCCAGCCCAGGCTGGGCCAACACCCCCCAGTGCAGGGGGCTGGGGTCAGAAACTCAGGCAGTGTGTGGAGGGTGCAGAGTCCTGAACCCCACCCTGACCCAGGGGGTCATGCACACCCAGCTCCTGGCATGCATCTGGGACCTGGCCGGGGGGAATACATTTCCTGACCCCAACCTGGGGTCCCACAGCCTGGAGCAACACAGCCACTCACAGCCCCTCAGCTCCTCACCCCCCAGGGTGCAAACAAGGAGCCCGCTGTGCTGCAGAGGAAAACCCAGTGCCCACCCTCCCCGACCGCCCACCAAGCCCACAGCCAACAGCCCAGCTTGTCCCTGGGCTCTCAGGGGGTGGGGTCAGGAGTCTGCCATGTGGCTGACCATGCCCTCCTGGGGTGGTGACATCTGCTTTTCCTGCACTTGCTCGGAGCCCCAGGGACTCATTCCCTGCTCTCTATCAAGCCCCCCACATCCCTGTAGGGCGGGACCAGCCCCATTTCCAGGTGTGGAGAGTGAGGGTGGCTTGGCAGTGGCACAGAGCTGTGTGGAAGCCCAGGCCCGGCCCAGCCTCCCCCTCCTGCCTCCTCCTGAGGACTCTCCTGCACTTTCCTGGGTGCGGGGCCCTGGGAGGGTCCTCTGTGTCCAGGGTTACCCGCAGGCCAGTCTAAGCAGGACGCAGGGAGCTCTGAGTTCACCTGTGGGACGCCCATCACTGGAGCAAATGGCACCTGCCTCTATCTGACACCCGTTCCCCCGCCAGGGACCACCAACAGGTGCCAAGCAGGGCAGGGCCGCTCTGAGGGCACCAGGAGGCAGCCCTCTGCCGTAGCTGGGGCAGCTGGGGGCCTGGAGGGTGCCCCGCCCTGGGAGGACCTGGGACAGCTGCTCTGGGCTGACCACCCGCAGCCTAGGGGAAGGACCTCACCCAGCAGCCTGGCCCTACCTCCGGGAGCTGGCTCCAGGTGACCTGGGGGGGCCGGAAGTTCTTGACTACAATGGGAGTGCCCCCCTTCCGTGTCCCCTCGGGGCTGCAGGGCTCGTCAAGCAGGTCGTCATCGGACTCCTGGCTGGTGTTCAGGCCCCGCTCCCGAATCTCCTGATAGAACCGGGGGTCTGGGAAGAGCGGCCACATCACCTGGGGGCCTGGGGGCTCGGAGAGGGCCTGGCGTCCCCAGACCCCACAGGCCGAGGCCTCCCAAGGAGGAGTCCCTGAGAGCATCAGCGTCGCCAGAGCAGGCTCCCCGTGGGCCGGCTGGCCACTGGCTGCTCAGGGTGGGCCCAGGACAAGGTGGCACCCCAGTGCAGAATGTGGCACCTTCAGACCAGCTGAACGGACCAATCAGAGCACATGGAGGCCCACAGGAGCTTGGGGTGGGGACTGTCCCCAGGCTGGACCTCAAGCACTGAGACTAGAGGCTCAGTCTCCTGCTCCCACACCGCAGGCCACCTGGACGGGCTGGTCCATGGCTCAGGGCACCTCTGAGCCCTCACAGCAACCTCTCCACACCTCACACCGAGGCCTGGGCAGGAGACCTGGGTCCTGAGGCCTCCCAGCTCCAGCCTGTGGCTGTCCACAGAGGTCCGGGCTGGCAGGGAGGGAGGGCCCGCCCCAGCTGGGGTCCCTGTGTCCTCAGAAGCCCAGGCCTCACCCAAGCCCGATCCCTCATGCCCAGTGGGTGCTCCATCCTGGCTGGGCAGGCACCTCCCCCCCCATTGGGTCCTGTTGGCACCCCAGCTCTCAGCAGGCTGACTGCGCTGCTCTGGGCAGCCAAGGCCCAGGGCCACCCATGCTCTCCGGAGCCCCATTCCCACGGGCTCCCTGTGAATGAGACAATCCCAGGAGGAGGCTGCAATCAGGCAGGACTGTGCCTGTGGGGCCTTGTTCCCCGGCATGGCCACCACAGGCCCTGCACACACACGAGGTGCTTGACAACTGACGCCTGGGCGTGAGTGTGGGGGCCCTGTCTCCTGCCCCCAGGATAGCACAGAAGAGAAACTTCTAGACCTTCCTAGACCCATCAGAGCTCCATGGCCAGATGACTAACAGGACCTCGGGTCCCCAGAGGGATCCCCTCCAGTACATGCTCTGTGCCACCGCACCCAGGCCCTCCCCTCCCCCTCCTCCAGGAGACCAGCCTCCCCGAGGCCTGGCCCAGCCCGCAGCCACCTCCCGAGGCCACGCTCCACACTCACCATCCTTGAAGGAGCCCTTGTGTGCACGTTTCCGCCCCAGCGTCTTCTGCGCAAACAAGACAAACAGTGGTCAGCAGGGAGGGGGGCGGGTGTGGGTCTAGAGCTGTTCCTCTACCCAGGGGCTCAGAGACCAAACAGCCCTGTGTGTGACACCGTGCCCAGAAGTAGGCTCTGCTGAGCACACAGAAGGCGCTCAATAAATGCTGGCTCCCCGAGGAAGGCAGGGCCACCAAGGGAGGCCAGGGCAAGGTGGGATGCCCCCAGAGGAGCCAAGGCAGGTGGCTGATGGCTGGGCAGATCCAGGAGGGCTGCCTGAAGGAAGAGGCAGGACTGCACTAGTTAAGAGGGGCTGCTCAGGAAAGCGGGGTGTTCCCACTTGAGGAGGCCCAAGGCAGAACAGGTGTGGTTAGGAGAGAGCCAAGAAGGGACACTCGGGTGGGAGTTGGGGCTGCACACAGGACCCCACGGAAGGGGTGCCCCGAGGCAGCAAGGAGAGGGTGAGTGTCCAGCCCCACAGAGGTCTGGAGGCCTGGCAGCTGATGGCAGGGCTGCGGAGGTGAGTGGGGGCCCACACCCTGGCGCACCAGGTGCCTGCTCAGAGCCTGCCTTCTTGGCTGGGACACACCATTGTCCCTCACCTCACAGGTGCCCGGTTCCAGGAAAGTGGGAGCTGTTTTCTCTTAACGAGTTGGGGCCTGAAAACTCCCCATGCTGGTCTGGACCGTGTGTGCTGCCAGCTGCACCTGGCCCTGCCGCCCCCCCCAGTGCCCTCACCCCTCCCACCCC